GGCTGTTGTTCACAACACTGGACATTAGAGGACAGTGTGTAATTTCAGAGGAGTTAATGGGTTTTGGTTTGTAATATTTATGCTGTGTGGCAATGAGAGAGGCTGAGCAATGACAAGTTTATGAGTTAAATCTCCCACAGACATAAACACAATTGAAACAAGAGGTCAGCAAACACAGAATGTTGCTCTAACATCTACAATAGAGGAATTGTTTGTTTTATATTTTCCTGTAATATTATTTGTTGATAACAGAGCTTGTTCTTATTAATGTTAATGTTTCAGTGTGTAACGTTGATGAGGATCTATTGGCAGAAATAGAATATAATATTGATCGGTATGTTTCCATTAGTGTATAGTCACCTGAAAATAAGAACTGTTGTGTTTTTTTTACCTTAGAATGAGCGATTTTTGTCTTCCATGGAGGGTCACCATGGTGAACCACCATGTTTCTACAGTAGCCCAGAAGGGACAAACACTGGCTCTACCATAGTTTCTCTCCTTCACACTTCACAGCCTGTTCTCAAACCCAGGTTGTCAAATATAGATGCAAGCTGTGTTCAGTAAGATGCAATGTGCAACTTCACCACTAGATGGCACAAGATCCTACACGCAGTCCTTTAACTATAAATAAGCATAAGTACAATGTAACTATGTACGTTGTAGTACGTCCAATAACATGCGGTGTTGAGATTGCAACAATTGATGATCATTCCCTATGATTTCTATGAGCCCTTGCAGTCATCACAACCTTCCTGCAAATTTGACAATCATAGCAGTTCCCCGTGCAAAACGTTGAGCCACACATCACCAAACTACAATCAATTTTATTCTCACTGGACCAAGATGTCTTCGATTGTTATTGAATTATAATTTTTTGTTTTTTGCCATGTTTTCCCTCTGCAATTTCATTGCAAAATATTACTACGAAGCCCTGGAGGGACTGACATTTACTCAAGTATTGTACTTAAAGTCCCCCTAATTCAGAGGAGGGAAGTAACTGGAAAGTACTGTGTTACTGTATTATTTTTTTTTGTACTTTACTTGAGTATTCATTTTTCTGACAACTTTTTACTGTTACTCCCTACATTTCTACAGAACTATATGAACTTTCTTCCTTCCATTTTTTTTCCAAAACAGGCTCATTACTTCAGTTTAAATGTATTTTAGGTTTTATCGATAATGATTTTATGTGTTGACAGGTAAAACATTGACTGGTGTGTTTTTATTTGGTTGAACTGTGCAGATGGTCTGGTGGAGCCTTCCAAAACATGAAAACCACACTGAGTGTGAGTGATACTGGCTTGTTAGTCTGTGTGTGTGTTCACGTAATTAATGTGTTTGCTGTCTTTCTGCTGATGGCTTTGGCTCGAGCTCAACGGCAGAGTCTGAACTTCCTGTTGGTCTCTCTTGCTCCTCTGCCACCACCCGAGGTTATTAATACATGCCTCGACCCACATTCCCTGCTGGTGTAATTATTGTGTCATTCACAGTGTCTGGACGTGCTCTGATGACTCCTCCCTGATTAATGAGTGCGATCGTTGCAGGTGGCCACAGTTTAATTAGGATTAATTTGCTTTCACATCCAAAGTCACCTGTAGGGCGCAGCAGGAGCAGGCCTGGGAGGAGGTTCCATCAGGAGCTAGTTTGTTTCAGTTGGCATCAAGAAACATCAAAAAGTGTCAAGAAACAACAAGACAATCAAGCTTATTTTACATTTGGCATATATTTAAAAAAACGAGACAAAAGAATCACAGGCTATCACATATACTATAACAGTAATCTTTTCCCAGAAAAAAGTCTGATTGGTTGCAAAAAACATTTGAATCTTATAGTGTGACAGATTTTGATAAAAATGTAGCTTATTATTAATTAAATGTGACAACTCACAGAATTTAGAGGTTATATATATATAATTGACTTACCACTGGATGTTGCACTAGAGCACCAGTATCTCAGATCAAAATAATGGGAGAGAAACAAAATAAAACTCATCAAAACTGCCTTTGTTGATCATCAATACTGGATCGGTTGAAATGAACCCTTAAAGGAGCATTTCACCCGTGGAAACATTAATATTTATTGAAAGTGGGTTGTATATGTAGTCGAAATGTAACATACATTTTGAATTTGGTGCCTATTTGACCGAGAAAAGACAGAAAGTGACTTTAGGGCGCATTTGTATTAAAGACAACAACTCCCACAATGCACAGCTCCGCAAGCTGCTCCCACTAACACTATCAAGGACTACAACAACGTGAATGTAAACCATTTATTTACAGAAATATATCAACAACAACAAAAATGAATATATTAACAATGACAGTTATAGTTCCTCCTGAGCGTCCTCAACGTCTCGGTGCCGCAGTACTGGCCATCTGGAGCTGGATACTGTCGGATTGCCTGCACCACATCAGCGGGTAAAAGGACACGATCCGTCAGACGTCCGTGTGTCCGTAGGCGCACAGTGAGAGCACAGGCACCAGCAGTCCACCCCAGCTTGAGCCAGTCCGGGCTCCTCGTCCGAAACAGGCAGGTCCTCTGCCTCGGCTGCAGAAGCCTCAGCCGCCTCCTGTTCAGCCTCAGCTGCTGCTCGCTATATTGCGGCTCATAAAGGTAGCCACAAACATCTGATTCGACCATCATACTTTCGAAATTTCTTCCATATTAGATTGATTACCATAGTCGTAACGTCTGGCTCCACAGCGCCTCCGCTTAGCTTCCAAACAAGATGGCGGTTATATTTTTTAGTTTCTGCAGGTGTAGTCCCGCCCACTGATCTGTAATAGGTCTGTAGCGTGAGTGAAAAAAAAATGAGAGGTAGTGTTTGTAGTCTCACCCCCTCTACAGAGATATGAGACTTCCTGCTTCCAATGACGCAAAATGACAATTTTTACATCATTGGAAGCAGGAAGTGCAACACTAAAATCCTTATTTCTCCCCTCTCAGGGAAAGTGAGGGAATGATGCACAACCATTCAAAAATATGACTGGGGTTCTAATGATACAAAGCTTAATGCAAATGGGTGAAGTGTCCCTTTAATTCACAGAGTCAGCTCTTAAAGTATTTGTGAAAAGGGCTGTAATGGCCGCAATGTAAGTTTAATTTAATCCCTGGGGAAAAATCTGCCCGTCAAGGTACATCCACTAAAAGTGCTAAAAGGATCCCTCCAGAGATTGATCTTTTGTTTAACCAGATACAGCTGTAATCTTGCTCTATTCAAAGCCACCAGATTCCATTGACAAAACAATAAATTTACCTTGCAGAACATGGGAGTGGTCTAGTCGGACCAATTGAAACTTTAACTTGATGATGGCAATAGATGAAAAATCAGAGGATCACCAAAGTTATTACAATCCATCCAGTAGAATTCGAGATCTTTCAGTCTGAACCAAAGTGGAGGACCGACCGTCATTGCCCCACAGCTAAAACTGGATGGTATCATTATTATTATTATCAGCCATCTTACGTTACAGGTGTTGTTCCTGCCAGCAGCTTCCTGTCTGAATGAGTCTCTGTTACCCCTCGTCTGTAAAAATAGAAAAAACTTGATCTCATGAAGATGCCAGTGTGTTTGAGGCAAGACGCTGCAGGTCAGGTCTGTCAGTGTGTCTCAAAGGAATATCATGTTTTCTATCTGGACCTGCATCAATGAGCAACATAGCAATTTATCCATAATGGCTAGAAGAGACAGATGAGAAGATGGATATCAGTTTCATCTGTGTGTGTCCAGTGCAGTGATTGATCCACAGCCTTGTGAAAGTCAATGTCGATATGAAGTGTAACATTTTATTAACTGATCAGTGGGCTCACAATCTTAGCAAACCAGACTTTTGCCTGATAAATTTCTGGGAATACTGAGATTAAAAATCCAGCAAAACTTTTAAACTTTAAAGCGCTTTAATACTTTTTAAATCCTCTTATTATCTGTCTTCCAGATGTTTCAGACGGATATCAGTTTCAGCATCCAGTACAGAGACAGGTCCAGGACGTGTAGCTTAGCACAAAGACTGGAATCAGACAGAAACTGCCCCAAATGTCAGAGTTTTCCTTTAAGGGATCTAATTAAAGGCTCTGCACACCCACAAAGGTGTTGTCAGTTGACCTGACTGATTAGACTTGTGCTTGGGCTGAAGTCTGGCTGAGATATGCCAAAAACTAGGTGAGGTCACAACTTCAGCATGGCATTAAGAATGAAAAGTCGTTGTGCCTGAACAGGTGCAACAAGAGAGGGAGAAAAGGGAAAACACCTACAAGGCTGTACGAAGAGTGTGAAAAGCCTTGAAGGGGTCCTTCTCATTATATTGTAAAGTCATAGATACCACATCAGCGATGGAAAGTATTTACTCAAGTGCTGTACTTAAGTACAAATGTGAGGTACCTGTACTTTACTTGAGTCTGTTCTTTTCATGCTACTTTCACCTTCTACTCCACTACAATTACCTTTAATCACAGGTTACTTTAATTACAGGTTTACTTTCAAAGTAAGATTTTTGCACACAAAACATATGAAGAGCTTATAATGTTATATGATGTTTTGTTATAAATTAAACTACCCAACAGTTAAACACGAGTACAGCTGAAACAATTTGTCAATCAAAGTTCCATTGTGTCCAATATTTAGCAGCATCTAGCAGTGAGGTTGCAGATTGTAGTAAACTGAAACCCCTCACCTCAACCAAGTGAAAAACCTAAAAGGCCCTTTCCAGAGTTTGGTTTGTCCGTTCTGGAACAATGTATATAGGTCGCCGTTTGTCAGTGAATAAAGGCTGCAGCTTCTGAAGACCAAAGTAAAACTCCCGTGGGTTGTTTCCCAACTGCTGGAATACTGTCGCTAATCAGCTCTGTCTGCGTTGACTGGATACAATTAAAGGTCTACAGTGGAAAACAAAGTACCAAAAGGGAGTCGAGGATGTAGTGGAAATAAGGCTTTACTGTCCTGATGTACCTGTTTAGAAGCCCTGTTTTCCTAATTGTATATTTTCTTCTTCTTTCTTCTGTAGGGCGATACAGAGATCCCATCAGTGGCCGTCACCAAGTCTCCCAAAGGAACCGGCCTGGATGGGCTTGAGATCGAGCCTGACTCCTACGACGTCCCTGTCGACCTTTCCTCCGATGAGGAGTACCTGAGTGTGGAAGAGGCCGACCCCTCCCGGGCTGCCCGCATCAAGAAATCAGTCGCGAAGAGTACAGAGACCCTGAAGGCGGCTTTCTCCAAGGAGAAGATGAACAAAACCAAAGACAACCTGGGCACCAAGTTCCACAACCTGGGCGAGAAGGTCATGCCTGCCGAGCGGAGAGACAAGATGCACCAAGCCGGCGAGCGACTGAAGCAGTCTGGCGAGCGGCTGAAGGAGAACATCGCCAAGAAGGCTCCAACCAAAGAGACCTTCCGCATCAAGCTGAAGAAGGAGAGAGCAGTCGCTGAGGGCCAGGAGGGCGCTGAGGCAGAGACTGCGGAGCCAGCAGTGCTCCCTGGGGTCACCTACACAGAGGTCGCCATGGAAACCAAAAGGGAGGGGCCTGTGGAGGAGGCCGGCGCCACCCGGATAGGAGAAGAGGATTACACGAAGTAGATCAGACGTCAGATCAGACAACGACGAGGAGGGGGGACACTGGAGAAAGATCATAATGCCCAGGATTTAAAAAGAAGGTCTGTGATTGGTCGTCATCGATGATGGATATCTTTATCCGCCAGAATGTGTTAAAACAGAAGTTCTTGAGATGGGAATCGGTATTGACACCAGAAACTCATCAGAACTGGTTATTTATTAAATCTACTGTATTTCAGAGTGTCAAGTCAAGTTACTCTATCAGATGTTATCTATTTTTAACAATTAATTTAAACAACTTGACGTGAATATGAGAATTTCTATTTTGAATGCACTACGAAAAATTCAGGTTTAGGATTTTGTTTCTTATTTGTGAGTCCAAACTGAGGTTGAGGTTTATTTGCACAGAGATAGTAGAAAGGAAAGAATGAAGGAAAGAAGGTAAATGGTTGCTAAAACTTTGAAAGTGATGATGAATGGTGATCAGAAGTTCATATGTTGATCTTTTATCTGGATGTACATATGATGTTGTACATACTGCCTAAACTGGAGAGGTGAAATTTGGTCTGTGCAGGACTCAGCTGGTCTCTGAGATACCTGGAGAGAAAATAGAACAAAATGTATCCACTGTCAGACTGGTTTCTGTATGCAAAATAGTAGAAAGGAGATTAAGTAAACTTTGCGGTGCTTAAAAGCAGCCTCAGTGAATGCTTAGATAGACATTAAAGCTGCACCGGGCAAAAATATTTAAGTGTTGGGATTTCATTACCCAGAAATGAGGCAACACATGTGATGATCCATGCTGCTTTCATTTCATGTGGTACAAAAACTAGATGAGAAGTTATCTGGAGTTGGCAGTACGATGGGCAGAGAGTTGCTCATGGAGCGATAAAATATGGTTTACAGTTACCATAGTAGCATTAAATTATAGTAAAGTGATAGGGCTAAATTGCCATTTAGTTTCACTCCATTCAATCAGCCTCACATTGTGTTCATGATAGCTGATGAATGGTTGTAAAGATTTGAGTGGATAGCTAGGCAATCTTATTTGTATAGCGCCTTCCAACAACAAGGCAATTTAAAGTGCTTTTCATAAGATATAAAGGCATTAAGATGAGATATAATATAAAAGACATATAAATAGGTTTTTAAATGAGTGAAATAAAATAGAAGGAATAAGTTAGAGTGGAATAAAACAGGAGAGTAACAGTTACAACGCAGCAACAGGATATGAATACTATAAGGGCTGTATGATGCTTACAGTGTTTTCATTGTTCTCCAACTGGTCAGTGAATGTTACACCAGAGCTATTTGAATCAGTGAATTGACCCGTCCTGTGTCCCGCCTTTAGTATTTGGCTAACATTATCTATTAAATGTAACTAGCAAGCTAACAATTGTTGTAGATTAGATAGCTAGTTATATAGTGTTTTGCTAACAGCTAATTTAAGATGTGAATTATTTTGCTTTTATGTTTTAAACACCTTCAAAATGAGGTTGTCTTTGTTATTGGAGCAACAAATGGGCTACCTTACAGCACGGCTTTGTTCAATTGTTTGTTGAATTCATAAAACAAGTAAACAAGTGTCTCTTAACCGCTGGAACTCTTTAAATTTCCCCTTAAAGGTCCAGTGTGTAACATTTTGGAGGATCTATTGGCAGAAAATTAATATAATATTCATAGGTATGTTTTCATTAGTGTATAATCACTTGGAAATAGGAATAATTTTGTTTTTGTTACCAGTTTTACAATTAAGCTGCATTATTTTTCCACTGAGTGAAATAGTGAAAGTGTTTTTTTAATAGATGCACTGGTCCACCAAATGGAAATATTCAACACTTTTCCCCAAAATTCAGCATGACAGATTTGGAAACTTTGGAATTATAGTTATCTGAATAATATAAAAAAGTTAAGTTTGACTTTAGAAAACAAAACATTAATTTGATAAAATCTTTACTCAGTGCATCTTTCATAGCAACACAGTCACTTGTAAGTATTTGTGACGCAAAGCTTATGTTGATTGTCATATTTTAGACATTAGACTGCAGTTACTCTTCTGAAAGTGAATGTAGTGGATTTAAGGTCGTCTGAGACATGGTGTTTGGCGGCTTCAAAGCTTTTTTGAGCACTGCTGAATTTTGCCGTATGAATGTTTTAATTTTTTTTTTTTTTCAATTTTGCTGCTTGATATTCATAGTTTCTTTTGAAGTTCAGTGAGCATACTGACTTTATTCTCCAGGAGTGATTAGTGAGGTCACAGCTTTTATCGGGATGATAGGATTTTCAGTCATCAGATACTTTTTATGTAGCTCGGCTTATAGTGCTGTCATTATATATCAGTACACTGTCTTATTCTGAAAAATACACTTTCTGTATAGCTTTTAACTTACTACTGTATTTATGTTCCTGCTGAGTCAAACTGTGTTGGTGGGGATTTTAATGCAGTAGATTGATAGTATTTGATTATATGGTTTGAAGGTTTCATCTCTTGCATATATTACCATTTTTTCATTCTTGATTACAGCTCTGTTTCCATGTTGCATTTTTGTTCATTTTTACAATTATCTCAATCCAGTTTTAATGCTTTACAATGAAAAACAGCTGATTGAGGACCTGTGTTGTTGTTGTTTTGGCCTGTACTGTACAAGCAGCACCAGACATTAATCATTTTGTTTTGTTTTTGTATAAATAAAGTTCTCATGAAACCTGTATGAACTGGTGTGTTGGATAAAAAATACACAAACATGAAAACAACTGTTTTTGGTGGTGGCTTTTTAAGAAATAATATTAAAGCTATGGTATTTAAATTTCCACATTAAACTGTCTATAAACGCCAGATCCTTATTATATATGTCGTTGAGTTGTGTACTAACATTATCCCCAATGTTTCCAACAATGTTTAAACTCAGAAATCTGTCATTTTATTCAGCAATGCTTTAGAAATCATTTGAGCTGTAGCATTCACACTACATTTTCATCAGGAAATGCATTTTCTAGTTGTATGATTTGCAACAATCACACATTGTTCTCTTCACTCTTTATTTCATATGTTTGTTATTCTTCTGTACAATTTTTGGACCTCTACTGGCATATTTTTTGCAGACAGACGAATTCAACTTGGCTAATATTCATCTTTTTGATTTACAGTTTTTTAAAGAATGGCTCGTCAGCCAAATCTCAAATACTATACATGCTAAAGTCGTCAAACCTGATACACAGGTGCCCCATGGAGATGTGCTAAACATATTAAAGCATGTAGTTAGTGTATTTAACAGTCAATCTATATTTTTCAAAATATGCAAAATCAATTAACATTTATATCTCGTGTAACAAGTCTTTATTCAAATGCTACCAAAATCACCACAGACATTGTTTGGATACTGTATATCACATTACAGTTTGAGTACGCAGTGATATTCACTGTCTTTTGTAATGTCTCAGAGCATATTTCATGTAGTCCAGGACATGACAGATACAGGACAGAGATCAGTGCTGTATACAGGTCAGACGTCTGTTCTGTTTATTGATTCAAATAATAGTAACAATAATGTTAATATTAACTTGATTTCACAAGTTTGAGCGAAACTAGTTGTCTTTTAGAGAGTTAGGAAGGATTTGGTCTGTACTGTCTATTTGATTCAGATTTGATCAAGTCCCTTTGACAATGATACCTAAGTTACAGAGGTCAGGACAGATACAGGACAGAGTTCAGTGCTGTAGATACAGGGTACAGGCCAGTGTTGTAGATACAGGGCATATTATTGTTACTGCCACTATTGTTTGTAATTAGTTACTAAACTTTTAAAGGCATGGCCCGATGCATTCAACAGGACCCTTTTTTTCTTCAAAACTGAATTGGATTGCAAGCTAATTTGGGGACGCTTTACATAATGCCACATTGTTTGTGTGTATAGTAGTATTCAATTTTGGGTGGTATCTTCACATGTAAATCACAAACACTTCTTGCTGGGACTCTTTCAGAAGCTGTGCCTGCGAGCAGAGGTAGCGGTGGCAGCAGCATATGCAGCAATCACACACATTTTCTTCAGGAAATGAAAATATTTTAGTTTATATCATTATAAGCAGGTCTGAGCCTTTGATCCGAGGTTATCTGGTTATATTCACAGACATGGTTTATCACAAACATCTCAAACCGGTGTTTTAACAGCAGCAACAGAGGCTCCGATCGTCTCTCCTCTGTGTCGCTATCTTCCACTGATCTCATCCATCTGCGACTCAAATTAAATCACTAACTTGATGTCGGCTCCAGCAAAACACGATCACTCAACTGACTCAGCAGAGTCCCGCAGATTCATTCCTCCGCTGGCGTCGGCCTTCTAAATGAAATGCCAATCATTCTGCTTTGCTCTGCAGGGAATTTACAGTTCGACTCGTCTCTGTGTGGCCAGAGGTCTCAGCAGCAGTTTGTCAAGTGTGAATTTATTGGCTCTTATTTCCTCAAAGGGTCCAATCAAACCGACCAGCTGCAACATAAACCCTGTAAAGATGATAAAAGACGTTCTCTGGTCTGACGGGAGTATCAGACGTGCAATCAAATAATCTGCATTACAAAAGAGACAAGTCAAAAGCTTTTTCTAAAAGTATACTTATTTGATTAACAATATGATCCCAGGAAAATTGTAAAATGTATTTACCTCAAACAGACATTATATTTCTGGTCCACATTTAGAAAGAAGGTATACGGCAGCGTTTAAGGTATACTAAATGTTTTATTCTTTTACGTTCTGAATTCACATTTAGGCAGTGCAGACTTATTAACCAAGTGTTATGTATCTCTATCTGTTATACAGACTTTGATCTTGTCATATACCAAATGTATATTCTGGTTGTCTCTCCCCCCTTGCTGATTTTACTATTTAGTTAATTGTGCAATTGCCCCGCTTTTCCTGCCTTTCTGTTTCCATTGGGAATCACATTCCGTCTGATTCCTGCCTTTTGTTTCAATTCCTTTTGGTCCTAATGGTAACCATGTAACGTTTGGTGACTGCCTGGTCAATTGCTACCATCTACATACTGTCTCCTGGTCTAGTGTATAAAAGTACTTCATTTAATTTGCTCTGGGTCCGCTCAATGTCTCAGATCTGCTCTGTGTCTGTCAGTTCACCAGTGTGCTGGCAAGCTTCAATAAACTCACACCAGCACAGCAAACCTCTGAACTGGACTTGAATGATTTCTTCCTGATTTCTTCAACAATTAAACACATTCTAATCATTGTTTATCACCAAAACACAATTTTTTGTGCAATTCTACTTTGAACAACAAAAATCTTGGTGTCTGGAAGATGCTACTTTTGTTGCAGCAGTGTTGAGTTTGGCATAGTCAACTATAGTCAACTACAACTTGTATAACATTTTATTTCTGTTTTAAAATATTAAAACAAGGCCACTACAGTTCATAACCATAGATGAACGCAGTCTCCATGACCCACCCATGGGTCTGCACCTGACTAATGTACATTCTGGATGAAATTGGCCAAACAACAAGAAATTAGACACTGCTGTACCCACATCTTTACAGGGACCTGCTCCACCAACCTCCCAGATCCTCAACAGGCGGACTGTGTTCTGAACCGACAGAGAGCAGGATGAGAGAAGGTGGACTCTTTGTTTAGATCGATGATGCTTGGGGCTCAAACACAGCGAAAGTAGATGGAGAATGAAAATGAAACCATATTATGATCACTATCTTGTTAATGTGTGTAGCATGAAGGAACTGCAAACCTTTGTTTCGTTGTACAACTTTGTATGGATAACGATAAATACATTTCCTTAACCCTTAATCTTAAAGTAGTAGGCTAGAATTTGTAAACTTATGGTAGTTGAGTAAAAGTACTTAGTGACATTCCACCACTGGTGTTAACTGAAAGACATAGGTTTGGTTCCTGAACAGATGATTTGAATCATCAGGTACATTTTGGCTAAAGGCCTACACTGTGTTGAAGTCTCTGTGTTAAATGTTATGTGGATATTTCTGTAAATGAGCTGCAGACTCTGATCTGCTCTCTGCAGGTTGTCAGCTGCTGCATCTAATTTCAGAGCTGCTGCTTTTTATAACCTCGACTGAACATAGAAAGATGACACCTCCGCCACCGTCTGCACCTCCCGCCACAGATATCGGTCGTCGCCTGCGGGCACCTGTGCCTCACTGTTACCGGGTTGTCACGGCAACTGTAGCTACCCATCAAAGCTTGAGAGAATGGTGCAAAATGACGTTAATTAATTTCCCCTCGTTTGGGTAGATCTGTGATTCTGAGCCGCATGATAACGGTTTTTCTCTGCAATGTCTCTCCTCCTGCATGGCAGCACTGACGCCAAAAACCATAATTTTGATTTATTTCAGCGCTTATGAGAGAGAGGCAGAGAGTATGAGATAGAGACGCCGCTCTGGAGTGATTGCATTCAGCTCCATCTGTTTGTTATGCATTAGCTGAGCACAATTGAGCTCTTCAAGCAATCTGTTGAAGAGAAATGGCCTTGGGTGATTCTAGTGTAGAGACGGAAAAGAGGAGCGCCGTCTGCTGATCCACGGCTCTATTAACACAATTTCATCTTCTCCTTCAGAGTGTGAACACTTCTTCTTCTGTGCCAGAGAGAAACACTTGAATAGCCTGCAGATGTTTCCTCTGTTGCTCTGAGATTGACTTGTCAAATCTACTCTTTCAGCATTCACAGGTACAGTTTACATTTACATTTTATTGAACTGAACTGGAATGAATTTGGAGAGCTGCACTCGATTCAGAACTTTTGTATCTTACTCGATTTACCGCCTGAAAGGCCGAACTCTTCGAGTACAATCCGGGAAATGTCTTCGTTAAAATTATCTGTGTGAGACTGTGGATTGTAGAGGTCCAGTGCTGTTTCTTCTTTGTCCACTGTGACAGCTACAAGACCACAGAAGAAAAGCTGTCAACTGACAAAAGAACCAGTGAGATAAAAACATGTTGCATTTCAACAAGCATCAGCCCCGTCTCCTAGAAATTATACTGCTGATTTGCAACAGCAACGTAATGCAGAAACATGATGCCACCTGAATTACATTTCCAATAAAAGAGTCATCCACTGATTTAACATTGTCGGAAGTACATGCTATAAGGGGTAGTTAAGTTACTTTAGTCAACCTTGTGTGGCTGGATAAGCATAAAAGTTACTGGCGGTGTGTTGTAGTCACTGTTACTGAAGTCCCAGTTCATACGATGTTAGTGTGACGTCTTCCTGCAATCTTCACGCTGAAAACGGCACTTACCACAGATGAATGTTACCCGTTTAGTCCCGCCCCTTTTTGCTCTGTGCTCATATAACAGTTGAGCAAACCTCGGCCGAAAACATCGGTCAGCTTCCTCCTTTCCTCTACTTAGATATGCTATGTGCTAGGCTACTCTGTGTTGAAAAGACAAGCACATTTTGAGGATGGATGAAAGATAAAAGTGACATATATATAGTCACATCTTAAGTTAGCTAATGTTAGCATGTTAACGCTAGCTAATCTACATCGGAGAGCAAATGTTTCTAAAACTGGAAGCTAGTTATTTAGACACAATATTAGCTAACTTAAGATGCGACTATGAACACTATGTCACTTTTATCTTTTAACTATCTTCAAAATGTGCTTGTCTTTTAAACAAAGACAAATGTAGCACGTAGCGAGTTAGGGGAGTTAGGGGATCAGGGTTATGCTAAGCTATACTGTGT